CTTCCCTCCCCACCGAATCGCTCCATCAGCTCACAGAAGTGCTCGGGTGTCTCCTACCCTGTAGAGACCCTCCCTTGTCCCCATTTCTCTCCAGCCACCTCCCCACTTCTCTGCTCCCTTCCTCAGCACAGGTCTGAAAAGAGCTCTCTGCCTGTCTCCCTCCACCTCCCCCATCAGACTTTGTCCCCACACTCCACTGAGCTCTTGGCCATCAGCAACCTCCATATGACTCAGTCCTCTGGTCACTTCTCTATCCTTGCGTTCAGCTCTCACAGCAGGACACGGAAGTGGACTTCCTGCCTCTGGAAATACTCTGGGTCACCTTGCTCTCCAGGTTTCCTGCCCCCTCCCTGGCTGGTCCCTCTTGGTCTCCTGTGGCCCCTCCTTGGCAGGCCTCTGGATGCTGGAGGCCCCAGGGCTCTGGGCCTGCATCCTTGCTTCCCCATCGCCACACTCCTTCCCCGGGTGACCTGACCCACTTCCGTGGCTTTAAATCCACTCACATTCCAGTGCTTCCCACACCTGTGTCTCCACACTCACCTGTCCCTGGAATAGCATTTCCATAAGCACCAGGGGTCTCAATACTATCCCAGGGTCTCATAAACATCCCAGTCGAAAGACAGCTCTTGAGTGCTTACCTCCAACCCGCCCTTCCTGTTTTCCCCCAACTCGGGCAAAAAAAAAAAAACAAAGAAATACATCTAAAACAATGCACTGGTTCTTTGCACGTGTCACCCCTGGTCCCCCTTCCCCTCGCCTGCTCACTAGCTGTAAGTACATCCTGACCAAGCCAGCCCGCGGCACACCCCTCTCCCCCCTCTCCCACCCTCCCTTCTCCATGTCCGCTGCCCACAGCGCTCACCAGGACCACCCTGGGCTCCGACGGGTCTCTCTGACTCATTTGTCCACCACGTCGCTCTCCCCACTGAAGTCAATGTCCGCTGCCCACAGCGCTCACCAGGACCACGCTGGGCTCCGACGGGTCTCTCTGACTCATTTGTCCACCACGTCGCTCTCCCCACTGAAGTCAGGGGGTCTTTATTTTATACATACACTAAAGTTTCAGTTTTACAACAGTTGAGATTAACAGAAAAATTACAAAGACAGTACAGGGAGTTCCCACCTACCCAGACGCAGCTTCCCCTGGGAAGTGCTAACATTTAATATCACTGTGGCACCTTTGTCACAGCTGAAGAACCAACAGTGGTGTCTAACTTGTTATGAGGCAAATACCAGAGTTTATTTGGATTTCATCAGTTTTCCCCTGTGTCCTTTGTGCTCTAGGACCCCATCCAGGACACCCTACTGCATTAGATGTCACGACTCCTTCGGCTCCTCTAGGTTGTTACAATTTCTGAGAGTTACTTGTCTTTGATGACCTTGACGGCTTTGAGCAGGACTTGTCAGGTATTTGTAGAACCGCCTGCGCTTTGGGTTGGTCCGATGCTTTGCTCACGGTGGGACTGGGGCCGTGGGGCTAGGGGAGGCAGACCACCGAGGCGAGGTGTCGTTCCCATCACCTCATGTCACCCCCGACAGGACTGATCACTGGTGTGAGCCTTCAGCACCGGGCTGAGGTCATGCTTGTCAGCTTTCTCTGCTGGAACGTGACTTCCCCACCCCTGTCCACACTGTACTTTCGGGAAGTGAGTTACTGAGAATCCCACATGGAAGGGGTGGGGAATTCTGCTCCACCTCCTTGAGGGGAGAGTAGCTCAGAGGGTTCATTTCAAAAACCTGAATCGGATCCTGTCATCCTCCATTGCTATTAAATAAAATGCCCTAAAAACTCCAAACACCTTGCCCTGGTTTACCCTAACTGAGAGTGACTTCTGCCGACCTCTCTCAGCCTCTCTCCTCGCCTGCTCTGCCCCACCAGGGTGGCCCTCATGCTCGACCTCAAACACGCCATTGCGCCCACCTTCGGCCTTTCTGTCCCCACTGCCTGTATAAAGGAGGGTCTCCCCCAAACGCCCATGCAGTGAATGAATGAGTGAATCCTCATTCTGTAGATGAGGAAACGGAGGCTTGCGGAGATAAGCAACTGCCCAGGTCACTGAGTCAGGGCTCTCGGAGCAGGGATTCAAACCCAGGCCCCTTGGACTCGAGCCTGAGGGTGCGACCCTTCCTCCTGCAGAAAGTCCCGATGGAGAGGCTGCTCCACGGGAAGAACTGCCCAGTTCTCGGGGAAGGAAGAAGAGGCCTCACTCTCTTAGCAGCTCAATGTCGCTTCTGCAGAAGGAGAGGAGGGAGCCTCCCACGTGCAGGGCCTCCCTCTCCACCTCACTGAGCCTCACAGTGAGAGCAGCAGAGAAAGGCAGGGCACCCCGGCCAGGTGAGACCACCGCCACCGCTGCCAGAGCCCCTGAGCCCCTGAGCCTCACCATCCTCGGTTTCCACATAGAGGCGGAGTGTCAGGTCCTTGTTATGGCTCAACAACCAGCGGTCACTGGCTGCGGTGACGTCCAGCACCAGCCAGCCCTCGTCCCCAGCTCGGAGCGTCTGAAGATCCAAAAAGAACAAGTCAGACTCCCTGTGGACACGAAAGAACAATTACCTGAGGGCCATACAGCTGCCTGCGTGTTCCTGGCGCCTGCCTGGGGACGTTCCTGGGAAATATTGACATTTCACGCTACTGCG